GCTGACCACGCTCCCAGAGCAACCCCCCGCGCTACAGGAGCAGACGGGGGAGGTGGCCCTCCGACGGAGGGGAGAGGCCCACCCAACCAGGCAGGCAGAAACGAAGGCGAACCGGAGGGGATCGACTGGGAAGGAGACAAGAAAAGCAAGTCAGACACAGCCAAGGACTCGAGCCCGGCGGTCAGCCCAACCCCTGTGGCGGACGAGGGAGAGGAGGAGAGCATTGACCCTCTCAACCTCTTCAAGGACCCACCCAGCAGGCCCGATGCCTGGCCCCCATTCGATCGGATCGTAGATCGGGGCGCCATCCGTGAAGTTAGGAGGGCGAGAGACAGCCCACAAAGAGCAAGCAGCTCAACCTGGGGCATCAACGGCGCCAGGGACGACCGCGTCCTCAGCCGCGCGACCGGGGACAAGGGCCGCCAGCGACCCCTGTGGGAGGACACCAAGGACGGATATGGCCGTGCCACCAAATCTCCATGAGGCGACCCCGCGCGAGTGCAGATCTACGAGGCGCCCTGGAAGGACAGAAGGACCACGCAGCCGCCCCGCGAAGACCCAAACGACCCCGTGGGAGGCATCCCCATGTACATGTGTTCCGTTGCAGATGCAGACGTTGCGAGGAAGGAACCCGCGCAGGATAAGATAATACGCCTGCAAAAGACGCTGGGGGGAGCGTTCAATGGAATTTGGGCCGCATGGGTGAAGAGGGCTGCCCTGGGGCAGGAGCTCGGCGGAAGCCAAAGCACGACCCTAAACTGAACGCAGTCCAGTCGTGCAGCGAGTTCCTCCAGGCATGGAATGACGCAGGGTACGACGCCTACAAGATGGACAGTGACTTAGGGCTCAGCGTCCACTGGCCTTCTGTCAAGGAAAACACATGAAGCTCATGCACCGCGACTCCCGAGCGCACGCTCAACGCGATCCCGACAGCAGCAGTAGACCCGCCCCATGGACAGCAGAGGGCAGAACAGCCACTGCGGCAGCCGCGCATGACCGATGGGCAGGCGCCATCGGCTCAGCCACCCCCAGCAAGTGGCAGGACTGGCAGGAGTGGAACTCCCGGGGCCAGCAGAAAGCCCCATGGACGGACTCGGACTGGAAAGGAAAAGGTAAGCGGTACTCCCCCAGGGGGGGCGACCGGTGCACGGACAAGCGCGCCCGATGGTGGGCCAGGGAGGACTCTTACGCCCAGGGCTAGCAGGGCCCGGTCAACCTGTCAGCGCACCCCTGGCCCTCCTGGCCAGTGGCCTCCGCCACCCTCGCCACCTTCCCCCCCCCCCCGTAGGGGGCTGTTTCACCTCGCAGCGCCCGGCCTTGGCCGTAATACCCTGGGGCAACATCCGCTGGGGCGGGGGTCGCCCCACATCTCACCCAAGGCGCTGCATAGCTAGACAGCCCACACTGGATACGTGGACCCATCCCTGACATCTCACCCCCCTGTTCATCAGGGGACCAGCCCGCTGGGCTGACTGGTCCCTGGACCATCCACTTTGATGTCCCACGGCGACCGGTGACAGGGGGACGTCGGCAGAAGCACCCCCCCTGCGCGCCACCCACGTTTGCTGTCCAGCGGCGACGGCCACCCACCCTTCGGTGACAGGGGGACGTTGGCAGAAGCACCCCCCCCTGCGCGCCGCTTACCGGCCTGATGTATCAGGCCTCAGTTTTGGCAGCTTCAGCTCCGGCGGCGAGTAGCTGCGACCCCCCGGGACCCCCCCCCCCGGAGGCGCATCTCGCTGCTGGCCCACACTCAACAGAGACCTCAGCGGCGATTAGCTGCGACCCCCACGATGTAAATGGTTCATAGCGGCGATTAGCTGCGACCCCCCGTTCTTCCACGCAGATGCTCTCGGCGAGTAGCAGCGACCCCCTGGGCGTTCCATGTGACAGGCCGCGGCCCCTGGGCCACGGCTGCAGGTTACCTGGCCGTGGGGCGAGGCGTTGCGTCCCCTCGCCTCTCCCCACCCAGGCTCGGTAGGTGTCCCCCACCCGTGGCTTCGGGGCTCGCCCGTCGCGGCCTTTGCTGGGCTGTGGCCGCCCCCTCCCTGCTCGCACCGTGGCACGCGCTGCTCATGGTCTTTCTTGGCCCCCCCAGCGACAGTTTCCACGGCTGTGGGGAGACACCTGGTGTGTGTCGGCGCTAGGGCACAGGGGCAGCGCCATGCGACAGTCTGGGTTGGCTGGCCACCTCGGCTTCACTGCAGCAGGACCCCCCTGGCAGGCAGCGCAGACGTCTCCTCCACCAGTGTGCCGACCATCACCACCCGACTGCGGTGCGCCCACGCCAGCGGACCTCTTCGCTGCAGGGTACGGCACCGCAGTTGCGCCTTGGGCAGCCGCTGGCCCCCCTCGGCACTGGGGGGCGGATTACTGAGGACTGGGCGCTGAGTGGTTCAGCCTGCAGCGCCTGTGCAGCCTTTGGTTTTTTCCCCGACCCACACTGTTTCTGGTTGCGGCCGCACAGCCGTTCGGCTTGTGCAGGTCGGCATGGAGTCTG